TTAACAAGTTATTTGCCTAAGCTCTGACAGATAGTAGGTGGCATATCCAAGATTCAAGCCCAAGCTCTCCAGCTCAGAAACCATGTTTTTAAATTCTCTGCTCTATTGCAGTAGTTCTCAAAGTGTAGTTCCAGTACTAGCACCATCAACATCACCTGCGGATGTTACAAATGCAAATTCTTGGGCATTACCCCAGATGTACTGAATCAGAAACTTAGGTGGGGGGAGGGGTAGAGAGACACATCTGTGTTTTAACAAGCCTTCCAGGAGATTCTGATGCTAATTATAAGCTTGAGAACCAGTGCTATACTGCAAATATTCACCAAACCTACCAGATTGAAGGGAATGGTATGGGTATATCCTGATTTATATAGGACTGTGAACTGAATTTCATAACTTGAATAGCAGATTCCAAGCACTAAGGGAGATGATTCATAAGCTCTTGCATTTAATTTTTAGGAAGGTAAGGGTCTTTATCTGGTATAAATAAACACCATGTGTCTGTTTCATAGGTTTGAATATTTTCCTTTGGAGTCACAAATATATGTCCAGAATGCTAAATGAAAATACCTGCCTTTTCATTCCCATAATGATCAGAAAGAATTACTTAGCCAAGGAGAAACACTATTTATATTTTGGAGTCAAGCTGTAATTCTTGAAAAACAGGAAACCACATATCAACCCAGCCAACACAGTGTACCATAGTAGAAAGGGCACCAGGCTTTGAGTCAGTCAAGTCACTTCTTCAACTCAATTTCCTGATTTTAAAATGGAAAATGAACTCCAACTTCAGAGTTACAATTAGGCTCAAATGATATGTCATATGTAAGCCACTGGTAAACAAACAGCTTTTGTGCTACATGAATGTAAACTCCCCCTACATGGGCTCCTTCTCTGTCTTGATCACGGCGCTATCAGTTTCTCCAGCGCTTATAGAGCACTGTCTGACACACAGAAGATGCTCACTACTTAGGAGGTATTAGGAATGAATATGAGGTATGAATGATATAATTGATTCCTCTGGGCTCCACTTGTCACAATCATCGCAGTCTTTTAATAGGAAAAAGTCACTCTAACAAGAAATCCTTAGTCATGTTTAAAATGGGCCAGATAATTTAGGAAAATCAGCTGATTTTCTTCCCCTGGAGAACTCCAGTGAAGGAGTTCTGTCCTAAGGCCTAAGGCAGAAACTGCTATTAGCAACCTGGATGGGTGGCTTTAGGGCCTCATGCTTTTTTTTTATTTTAAAAGATTTTATTGGGGAATTGGGGAAGGGGAACAGACAAGTTGCTGTCCTTTTGTTCTTCAGTCTAGTTGTGGAGGACGTCGCTTCACTGGCCCATGTTGGTATGATCATTGCGCTCTTCCCGGGTGAGGCAGATTGGTTGCTGGCCACTGGACGGCCACTCAAGGCAGCTCATGGCAGCTCACACGGCTATCAGCCACTCACACTGGCTGCCAGTCACTCACGGTAGCTTATGGCAGCCCACTGCAGCCTCACTGTAGCCTATGACGTCTCAGCCAACGACTCTCAGCAGCCCAGCTCCAGGTTGAGCTGTTGTTCACCATCTTAGCTATAGAGGGTGCAGCGTCATTGGCCCTAATATGGGATCCCAACCGAGGCCCTGCTGCTCAGAGCTGGCGTCCTAAACCAGCTCTTAACCAACACGCCACTCAGCCAGCCCTAGGGCCCCATGCTTTCAAGACTACAACAACTGTTGTACACATATAAACAGTCAAGAATAAAGAAAGTGCACCGACAAATAACTACATGTTACACATTTATTTCTGCACTGTGGTAGACTTTTAATAAATGGATTATAGGGTTTATATAATCTATTTTAATGAAATCTGAGATTTAATTAAACAAATATTAAATAAACTACAACTGTTGTGTAAAAGAGAAATTGCTAGAAAACCACGCTGATTAAATATCATTTGGGAACAGAAACTATTGTTGAATTTATCATTTAATGAGGGAAATATAATTTACAAAACTTTGTATATGTGTGGTAAATGCAGTTCCTTAATTTGTATCCTCTCCAACATACTTTCTCAACTCCTGAAAAATTAGTTAACGGTCTAGTCTTGAAATAGGGGAACTTTGGGCTTTTAGCTTCAACAGATATATCTATGATAAGATAGCAAATGAATTCAAATTGAAAGACAGTTTTCGGTATAGGGCTTTAATCGTCAGGATAATATCCCAGCTATGTTGCCATACCTTAAGAGACATCGGCAGGGTATATTGTCCCCTGTGTATGCCTTACAATGATTGAAATATTTATATGTAATTTAGCTCTACCTTTTAAAATGTGAAAACATAAATCCATCTCAAGATTTGGAACCGGTAACTAACTTCAGAAAGGATTACGCAAATTTGTTTTGAGCACCAATTAGAGTTGAGCATGAAACTTCTTTCACTTATTTCTTTAAAACTATTGAAAACAGTTTGCCTTTTCTAAGCTTAATGTTTTTACCCATCTTTTCAGCTCCCAAGGCAATATAATTTCAACTGATCACATGGCCAGTGATTTGCATAGGTTCCTAATAAAGATGCAACTCATATACGTATAGGTATCTTAATTGAACAGCACTTTTCCAGATATAATTCAAAACCCAATTAAGCAAGTAGCTAAAAAAAAATCAATTAAAAAAAGTAACAGTTGGTTCAACCAACTCCTTAAAAAATTCAGTTAAAGCAGATTGGAAACAGAAGACAGCCAGTTTAACGTAGTCTAACTACTTGCTGTCTTATAACCCCAGTGAAACAGTGACTTCTGGTGGCAAACAATGCATGCTATTCTGCATCTGGTAGGAGAAAGCAATGTTTACAGTCACCTGGGCTTCATTCTTCCCATAAATCCTGTCTCTGAATGATCCTTGAATTCTAATTTAACACATTGTGATTCTTTGAAACTGTATTTTTACAAAGTTGAAGAGTTTGTGAGCAAACAACAAATGCCAAAGACACTACAGAAATTCAATTGCTCCAGTAAATGAAACACACATATTAACTCTGATGTGTAATGGTTCATTTACTTCCCGCAAGCGGAACGCAAAGAATTCACGGTAATATACCTGCAAGTACCACATCCCCAGCCTCATAATCCCTGTAAGTTATATTTAGAAAAAGAAAAGAAAGGGGAGAGGGAAGTCCCCAATATCTAAACTCATTTTTTTTCCAACGCCTTGTATCCCACCTTCAACACCTCTGTCTTAAAGTGACCAAGTCTGTCCCAAATCCTTTCCTTGATTCCCTCTTCCCTAAATTAGCTGAATTCTAACTGACTTTCCTAGTTTTAAGTACTAGTTACCTATTCTCTTGCTTTCTCTCCTACTCTCCCTTCATTCTTTTGGGTCATTTATGCTTTAGTTCTCGCCATTCCTTTTCTGCATGCTTATCTTCAACTAAAATACTTTCTTACACTGGGAAGAGACATCACCTTTAAATTAAAGCACACACACCATCCAGAATTTTCAACTCTCCTGCGAATTTATTTCCGGAATATCTACTCAAGGAATCCTTTCCACTAAAGATGAAAGGCAAGCTAAGGAAATACATTAGACAGAGGAAGTAAACATTGAAACAGGGCCATGCTTAGGTAGTCTTAAGCCTGTCCACAGAACTAGACTCCTGTGGTCTTTCTTTTCCGTGCTTTCTATCCCCTCCTGGAGGCTGACACCACGTGGGTCTGTGAGAGGTATCCCACCTCCATCCCACTGCCGCCTGCCTTCCACGGCTCTGCAGGATCTTGCTCTGAAATAATCTTGCACAAGGAAAATCCCTACATCTTTCAGGCCACTCCCTCACCTGACGTTTCTGTGCCTCAATTATTGAGCTCTTCTCACTCTACAACTGTCCCAGGGAACCCTGTCTTCGCCTTCATTTACCGGTTCGCCTTGAAGGTTTAAAATCTGTCTGGTTTCTTGACGGAATATCATATCCCCCACATCCCGCCTCCAGCGTGCACCCAATATGGTTAAAATGACCCCATTTCACCTTTAAAATATAAAACATTGCCTGCAAGTACCCTCTACCCCAAGAGAGCCAGGCTCCTAGAATTTTCAGACATCTCCACCTCCAAGATTGTCACCATCTTCCTGGGACAATTTGCATAACAATATGCGGGTGTGGAAACTCCTAGAAGACAAACTGAGTAGAAAAGAATGTATCGGGACCCTCGAGGGCCTCTGTAGCTTCATTAACTACCATTACATTATGGTACCGTATGATTCATACGATCCTCCAATTCCTGTCCCTTTTAATTTGCCCACCCCGGCGCTCGCAAGGTTGGAGGGCTCTCATGCGGCAGTCACAGAGGATCAGACACCAAGGAGAAAATTAACCAATTGAAATTAACCAGTCCCACGCTCTGCAGACACCGCCTCCCTGAGCCCCAGGAGCAAGTCTCAGAGGTACCTCCAACTTTTCCCCTCCCTCTCAAGAGGCTGCGGACCACCACAAGCGCCTCCCTCTCAATCACAATTAGCTGGGATTGGAACCACTAATCGCTCTGTACTAGACGCAAGGGGGAGGAGTGACAATGCCGGGAAGAGGGGGGCTCGGGACGGAGAACAGAAAAGCCCCGCTTTCACCCCCCCGAAAAACTTCTGGGACTCTTCTATTACGCAACCCTGGGACCAGGTTCAAACAACGGAACATCTTTCCTCAAAACGCGGGGCGCTCTGGCAGATGTCTGGTTTTGGGGGTAGGGGTGGGGGAGAAGGATGGGTTTCTTCTTGTGATCCCCTCCCGGGTTTTTCTAGACGATACCTGCTGCGTATTTGCAAGTAAGGGCGGTGCTAGCCAGCTCCGCGTTGTCTACGCCCGCTCTCCCTGAAGGTTCCCACCGGAAAAGTGGGAAGGCCAGCGACTTGAGTCAGCGTGCTGGGAATCCGGCAGCGAGGCGGGGGAGAGCCTGCGCTTCCCAGAAATCAGCGGCGGTGGTTCGGGGCCAGGCTGACACCCACCCGGGAGGGTGCAGGGCTCCGCTTACCTTCCAGACCCTGGGTCCGCCAGGCTTGGGGGCCTTGCTCCCTCACCGCCTCCGCCCTCCCCTGACCTGTTGCGGTGGGAAAGGGGCGCGCGTGCGGAGAGCGTAGGGCAGCGCGTCCTCCCGGGGCTCAGCGGCGGCTCACGCACTCCGGAGGCGAGAATGCAGCGGTGACCGTGACGCGCGCAAGCTGCGGCCGAGTGCGCACTCGTCCACTCCGGGTTCGCAAGCTCCGAGCGCCTGTCGCCCCAGAACGCCCGGGTGGCTAGGCCCCGCCCTCCGCGGGAGACCACGCCCCGCCCCGCCCTCCCCCTCTCCGCCCTGCCCACGCCCTCTAGCTGGCGCCACCAAAATGGTGAGGAACACAGCGGCCCTCCGCTGGAGACCGTTGGGAGGATGGAGGGGGAGTAGCAGCTCTGGATGAATACAGCAGTGACAGCACCCGCAGCGTCGGTCACCCTGCCCCGGGCTGGTGTGGGGCACAAAAACCCCTTCGCTTTACAGTGAGATTAAGCTCAGGGTCAAGTTCTGAATAAAAATGTCAAGGAGCCTTTTTTGCAATCTCTATACAATTGAAACAGAATCTGTGCCCTTTAAAGGAAGTAATAACTAACATCTGGGAAGCATTTTACAGTTTTTAAAGGGCTTCTCACATACAGGCCTGTCTCATCTTCACAACAACCTTATGGCATATAAATTATTGTTGCCATTCCCCAAATACTGAAACCAAAGAGCTGAAAATAAGTATTGTGTCCAATGTCACACGCTACAAAGTGGCATGAGAAACCAAGTCTCGAATTCAGCCTCCGGGTTTTTACTCTTTACCAGCCCGATCCTAGGAAGTTCTAATGGATGTAGGGGCTTTGGCAAACACCATCAAAGGGAGAAGGGACAGCTAATGTCTAGTTAAGTTGCTACCCAGCCCCATTCTATGAACGTACCAGGGGAAGTATTGAGCTGTCTTCTTTTTGTCATGTCACCTTCCTCCCTGAAAGAGATGCAGAAAGGTTACATCAAATGGCCCACATGGGTTTCTCCCCCCAATAGCTTAATGGTTTGAAATGGGTGAAATTATTTGAAGAAAATCACCTTACTATAATGTAACAATGTAAAAGTAAAGAATATAATGTATTAAAATGCCCCCTTTCCTTGCCCTCTTTGTCGTTGTTGTTGCTTGGCCCCTTCTGGCTCCTTCATTGTCCACATGTTCAGTGTTTGCTGAAAACCTAATCTATGGATATTTTTATTTCCAAGTTAAACTCTTGGCTACTTGACGTAATTTCCAATGGATTGTTTTCTAAAATGTAATATTCTCCCTACTCCCCAGGCTCTCATGGTGATACGGATTTGATTTACTTTAACAGCTAAATCAGGTGTGCCTCTCATGAAAGCTTTAGAGGTCACCCCTGAGCAGGGTGGCACAAGAGTCACTTCTGACAGATGAGGGTGCACTTCTTAAAGGTTTCTAGTAGATACTGAGATCTACTCAAATTCTAATCCTAACAAATATTTTAACCTTTTTGTTATAGAACTAATATATTTCACTGTAAAATACGTGTATATATAAGCATAGTAATATTTTATCATGTGAAGTTTTTTTTATTGTCCCTATTTAAAGCTTTTTCCTTTTTATCATCCCATAATACTTCTTCATACCTTCAAATTGTAGTCAACTTAGTAAATGATGTTGACAATGGACGTCTGATCAGTTTATTTTCCTGCTTTTGAAGCTGAGGGATGTAGTTCTGCAAATTTTTGGTTGTTGTTGAAGATTGTGCAGCTTTGGTTCAGAGAGTAAGTAGTTCATTCCATTTATATGAATATTCTTAAGGCAGTGTGCTGGGTGAGGGACCACAACAGTGAGAAAGATATATCAATAGCTCCTATTTTCATGAGATTCCAGTGCCTAACAGAAACAAGTGGACAAATAAACAATTCCAGTGCACACTTCTATTGATTAATTTCCAGAAAGGTGGTAGGTTATTTAAAAACACTTAAATCAAAATAATTTTCTCATAATAAATAAAGAAAAAGAGGATAGTCACTTCAGTGAGTTTTTAGGCAGTCTTTCTGCCTTTTCTCCAGATCACATTCTATACGTGGTTAATAAGCAGGCTATTTTAAGTAGTAATTTTACTACATCTAATTTTTTTAAATTATGACAAACGAAAGTAATTATGCAATAGAGATGCAGATGTTCAACTTTTCGGATACACTTTCTGCTCTCTTCTTCATTATAGGAATTCTTTAATTACATTTTCAGCTCACTCAGTGCAATTCTAGCACTTTCTTAATCTTGACAGCCTAGTCACATATATTTCTGCTCATGTTTCTGCTAAGGTGAACTAGGTCTCTGACATCAGGGATCTTTTTTTAAACAGAACTGAAAAAAGTTTTTTCCCTTTTTTATACAATAATGTTTTTAGCTGCCTCTTCATGTGAAGACTCCTGGGATGTTACCTTTACAATTTCAGCCATAATTTTACTTAAAATTTAAAGACAAACAAGTTAACCCCCTGGGTCTCAATAGAGGCTCATGGGCTATATTCTCAGAGCACCTGTACCAGGGGGGCAGGAATGCATTAAGATTGAGACTGGTGGGGAATGTGCTGGCATCACAGCCGTGCAGCTGTTTGCTTGGCCCATCTGAAGTCCTTCTAAACTCTACAGTCAGCAACACCCAAGCATTTTAAACCAGCAGTTTCCAAAAAGACTGCGTTTATATTTCAAAGGGCATCAATTTCTTCACAGTGTAAATAAATCTTAACTGAGGAAAACAACTAACCCAAGTTTGGGGGAAGGAGGTATAATTGAGGAGAGGGTGACCATGAAGACGGAGGAGGAAAGATTAGCCTAAACTAGGTAAAGGGAAGTGGAGGAAGAGCCAGTTCCCAAAAAAGGAACACAAACAAAGAGGGGGAGGAGACCTGGGGGGCAAAGATTATGAGGGACAGTGATAAAACAGGAAAGGTCAACCGGAAACTGATGGCGAAGGGCCCTGCATGCCAACCTAAGGAGTTTTCCTTTCATGCTAAGTGCAGTGGGTAGATTGATTTGCTCAGGTTGCATTTTAGAAAGACTACCGTGACTGCCATGTAAGAAAATGAATAGGAGACAGCCAGGCTGCAGTCCTAATCCCCAAGGCCACAGCAGAAACTGTGCTGAGAGCTAGCATAGATTGTAGGCAGATACAGAAATTCCTAGCTTTGCCTCTGTACCTGGGAGGCAGCTATGCAAAATAAACCTGCTGTCTTTGGCTGTAAGAAGATCTAGGTGCACACTGATTAAAATTAAAGTTACTGTCTTTATTTTATCATGAACACTTTGCAGACAACATGGTTCCTAGTGACCCAACAATCATTTTTCTAATAAGTACGAGTTTCATATTGTGTGTGCGTTTTTACTCATTGCTACTACACACTGCTTCCCAATCCCAGTGGGGATTATGAATGTTTTTTAGTCATGTGATAGTATTGTTAAATTGCTTCCATATTTACAATAGTAATTTGGAAAACCCCAATGCATCTGGAGCAACAGAATATAAGCAAACATCCACATTTTTTCTCTTTAAAAAGTAGGGATTTAACTTAATTTCTACAATTTACCAGATATTTCACACACATAATTTTATTGAATCATGTTGAAAATGTGTGTGTTTATAGTTCATGTGTCAAAGAAGGAATAAGCTCAGAGAGATCATTCATGTGGATCATCATTATACAGCAAGTATATAGTGGAAGCAGTATTTGAACTCAGCTCTTCCATGGCTCAAGGTCATGTTCTTACCACTAGACTCAGAATTAGATAAGTATCCCAACTAATGTCTATTGCAGTCACATCCACATCGGCAGACCCAAAGGAATTGACAATGGATTTTCATTTTGATAGTTACCCTTGGAAGGTTAAATAGGAAAAGGATAACGAAAGCTGAGTGGTTATGGGAAAACTAAATAGGTGGGAAGTGGAAAAGGGAAAGACATAACAGGCAGAACCAGAATACAAGAGCCAAGTTATGGGAACAGGACTGGGGAAAAGAGCACCCTGAAGACCACAGCACAACTTCAAAAACTCAGCACTATGATTCACTTCAACCCATCTCTCTCTCCTGAGTTTTAGACTATTATCCTCATTTGTCTGCAAGAAATTTCCACATGGTTCTCCCATAAGCAAAACAAACAACATAACTAGTATGAAACTCATAGTTTTTCACTCTGTCTACCCATTCTTCAACACCCCACCCAACCAAATGCCTTCCATTGGGTTTCCAACTTTTGTTAATGGTACCATTACAGACCCAGGATTCAGGCTTAAATGTCCACTACCTACCAAGTCATATTAACTTTCCTTTTAAATATCTCCCTCTCCTACAAGTTCCCTTCCCCCCACCCCCTTTTTTTGTTTATTTTATTTCTTCATTTTTTTCACTGAATAACTACCAAGTGTCCGATACTATTTCTGTTCAATTCTGAGGATATAAAGACAAATAAGAGACTGGCTTTGTCCATGGCATCTAGAAGGCCTCCAAGATGCCCACTCCTCGTGTGTATTTGCTATTTAATTACCTCTCCTTAAATATGGGTGAGCCTCATCTAATCAGGAGAACACTTTTTTTTTTAAAGATTTTTATTGGGGAATTGGGGGGATGGGAACAGTGTTGGGGAATTGGGGGAAGGGGAACAGAAAAGTTGCTGTCGTTTTGTTCTTCAGTCTAGTTGTGGAGGCCGTTGCTTCACTGGCCCACATTGGCACCATCATTGTGCTCTTCCCGGGCGAGGCAGATCAATCGCTGGCTTCTGGATGGCCACTCACTGCGGCTGCTGGCCGCTCACGCTGGCTGCTGGCTACATACAGTAGCCCATGGCAACCCACTGCCACAGGGGCTGCAGCCTACGCCGTCGCCGGCGACTCACGGCAGCCCAGCTCCAGGTTGAGCTGTTGTTCAGCATCTTAGCTGTAGAGGGCAGTGTCACTGGCCCTCATATGTGGGATCCGAACCGGGGTCCTCTGGCGTCCCAAGCCAGTTCTTAACCATTGCGCCACTTGGCCGGCCCATGAGAACACTTTTTAAAAAAAGGATCTAGGGGCCAAAGAAGGTGGAAGTCAGAGAGATCTGAAGCTACAGCTGATGCTCTCCTATCGGCCTTGAAGTAGCACCACATCGTGGAGAGGGCCATATAACAAGGACCTGACAGTAGCCTGTAGGAGCTGACAGTGGTCTTCGGCCATTAGCC